CTTGGGACCATATGTGTTTTGAATATAGCGGGTTTATTTTTTTTTAAAAAAAGGAATACTTGTATTTATATATGAGCTATTTTGAAGATGGGCCCAAGTCTAAACATGAAATTATGCTTCCTTTACACCTTATACACATAGCATGAAGGGAAATGTACACATTTGAATAGTTTTATGCACAAAACAAAGTTTGCTTACATTGAACCATCAGAAAGCATATGTGTAGCAGGTCAGTCACCGGTGATGACAAATTTGGATTTTTGGGTATTTCAGAATTTTGGAATTTGAGATACAACCTGCATTTACAAAAGCCATACAGTGAAAGCGGTAAGTAGTTTTGCCCTTATTGGCCTCTGAGAGAAGTCAAATACCATCACACCTCAGCAGTCATGGTTAAACTTCACTACAACAGAAGTCTATCATCGGAAGCTACAATGGCAGACATAAAATCAGAGCATGACTGAATGCTACCAGAATAATGAACACTGGCTCAAAACCTTCCATCACGCCATGCTTCACAGCTCCAAAAAAGTAATTTTATACGCACTGTCACTCATGGAAAATAATTTCAATGCAATTATTTCCATAAGCCAATATAAAGAACTCGTTTCCCCGCTCTCCTCTCATGACTGAAGAGTTCTCACAAATTCGAGTCCCTTGCCTGGTGAAGCAAGCTGGTAGGAAAGTGAAGCAAAACAAAAGAGGAAAAATGAAAGTGAACAGAGAAGTGGAATAATTTCTTTTAGGAAATTAAATGCTTTAATTCTATCAAACTGAGTAAGCCTATTACAACAGTTGCACAATAGATAAGAGAGCAGATTAAAAACAAGAAATAGCACAATCCACTCCCAGCTACTGCATAAAGACGTTTCATTCCTATTATCAGTTTTTCACAGGAAAATCTTTCCAACTCATTAATCAGAACAGAGGAGAACTGATATATATGCATATCTACATATACACACAGAGAAACACATATACACACAAATGTACAAATACACACACACAAATAAATATACACAAATAGACACATAAATACGTGTGTGTGTGTGTATCTTCATGTCACATTTGTGTATGTCCCCCAGTGGCACAGTGGGTTAAACCGCTGAGCTGCTGAACTTGCTAACTGAAAGGTCGCAGGTTCGAATCCAGAGAGCAGCGTGAGCTTCCGCTGTTAGTCCCAGCTTCTGCCAACCTAACAGTTCGAAAACATGCAAATGTGAGTAGATCAATAGGTACTGCTCCGGTGGGAAGGTAATGGCATTCCATGCAGTCATTCTAACCACATGACCTTGGAGGTGTCTACGGACAACGCCAGCTCTTCGGCTTAGAAATGGAGATCAGCACCAACCCCCAGAGTCGGACACGGCTGGACTTAAAACCTTTATCTTAACCTAATCAATGCAGATTTCTTCTATGGAAGCAGCACTTAAGGACTGGAAATGTGTCATTACTATTTTACACTTATGAGTCTACATTATTTACTTGTGTATAAGCTGAGGGCAGGTTTAGAGGTCGGAATTATGGATTTTGATGTGATCCATGGATAAGCTAATGGTCATTCTGCAGAGAGGGGAAAGAGCAAGAGTCTCCTCGGGGGGGGGGGGGGGGGGGGCAATTTTGCCACCAAGGCATTCAGAAGTGCCAGATTTGATTGAGATTTTAAAAAGGGGAGGGGTCTGTCTTCTTTTAGGTTTTCCTGTGGTGGACGAAGCCCATGCCTTTTACTACTCTACTTAGAGAAAGGTTCCTATTTTGATTGGTGTAGAATACTTACACTGACTGATGGATAAGTCGATCCAGGCTTTTTGGGGCAATGTTTTGGTGAAAATCTCTAGACTTAAACATGAGTATAAGCAGTAATTCTCCATTTCCACACCAAGAAAACTTTAGGTCAAATTGATCTCAATGGGTGAAGGGGATAAGCATTATGCTCAATTCTCACTGAAATTAGGGGAACACATTTCAGCCGTACTGCACTCCTTGCTTTAGTGAAGCTGCCAAAAGAAAGCCATGTATCAAAGTGAAAGGTTACTACCCACAAGCTGTCTAACAGTCTATTAGAAACAGACAAGAAGAGACAGAATTTAATTTACTAAATCATACTGCAAAAACTTAATATTTACACAAGGAGAATGGATATGGTTTGTTTGTACAAGGAGTACCTCCGGGGGTGTTGAGAGAATTCTTCTGGGATAACACATTTGGCTTTCACATCTAGATGGGTAACAACCTCTTAAAATGCAGAGTCATGAACAGAAAAAGGATCATCTTTGTTGCCTAATAAAGCAAAATGATGATAGCAGAGCAAAAGACACATTCTTTAATATCACTGGCAGCTATGTTTTCAACCATTGAAGTGTCCAAAGTGCCTTTAAAGGCAGTCAATTTAAAGTATGTTACAATAATCAAGAAGGGACAAGAGCAGATGTAAGAAAATTCTGGTTCTATTTATGCTTTATACTGCATCCCCCAGAAGTTCCAGCCAACATGGGTAACTATGAAAGAGAATGAGAGTTGTAGTCCAGCAACATCTGGAAAAACATTGCTTTCCAATCACTATCAGTTGACTTTAAACATAAAAGCTCAATCTCATTCTCTTTCATAGTTACCCATGTTGGCTGTGTTTCTTTAAGTGGGATACTTGGTTATTGCCAATCTCCTTATCTCACTGTACTCCACAATAAAAAGCTGTTCTTAGGCTTAGGAACAATTTAATATATCACACAAAACGATGGGAGAGATAAGGCAGATAGCAGAAAACTGGGCATCTTGCCTTTCTAAGCAGACTAAAAATCTATTGGTTGAAAACTGAAGCCTGGGACTAACTAGAACACAAACATCTCCTTTTCATTGTTGTGGATATATTTTGCAAATGCCCCTTCAGAAAGGTTTAGGATTTTCAGATCTGAATGTCTAACTTGATTTCACATCTTTCACAGATCAATGGCACCACCCTGTGGCAGTTCTTAGGCTTAAAAATGAATATTGGCCTCATTTCATTACTCCATTTCCTTTTCTCTCTTTGTTATTCTTGTTGGTTTGTTAAATCTATTTATATTCAATCTTTCTTTCTCCACAGTCCTCCATCTAGTATGAAAGCGAGAAGTAGTAACTTGTCTAGCTTCATGGCTGAGCAGGGCTTCTGACTTTGGCCCAGGTTTGAGCATCATGAAGCCCTCCAGATGTTGTGGAACTAAAAATCCCAGCAGCTCAAGCCACCACTCCCAAAAGCCGCAAATGGAACAAGTAAGTTCATATTTCCCTTTATCCGTATTATTTTAATACATGCCCTTTGCAATTACAGCAAAATGGTGACCAGCAGAATGGACCTGTTGGAGTAGAATGTCCAGATCCAAGGAAGTCATGCTATCCCTCTATTCTGCCCTGTTCAGACTACACCTGGAAACTAAAATGAGCAAGGGCCTGAAGAACAAGCCCTATGAGAAGTGGCTTAAAGAGCTGGGCATGATTATTTATTTACAATATTTATATACCGCCTTTCTCATCCCTGGGGGGACTCAAAGCGGATTATTCTGCAGAAGAGATGACTGAAAGGAGACATAACGGCCATGTATAAATATGTGAGGGGAAGTCATAGGCATGAGGGAGCAGGCTTGTTTTCTGCTGCCCTGGAGACTAGGACGCGGAACAATGGCTTCAAACTAGAGGAAAGGAGATTCCTAACTGTGAGAACTGCTAAGCAGTCGAACCCTCTGCCCCAGGGTGTGGTGGAGGTTACTTCTTTGGAGGCTTTTAAATGGAGGCTGGATGGCCATCTGTCAGGGGTGCTTTGAATGTGATTTTCCTGCTTCTTGTCAGGGGGTTGGATTGGATGGCCCGCAAGGACTCTTCCAAAGTTATGATTCTATGACTCAAACAAGAGCCCCAGAGACTGACTTCAAATCGCTGTGTGAGCTTCAGCTTCTATGGCTCATAACTATATTATATAAAAATGTTCCCAACAATACTGACTGGAGGTAGCTTATAGTCATCATGACTAGTAACCTTGTATAGTTCTATCTTCCTTTAGTTCATTTAAAATTATTGTAATATCTTCTAAGCTGATGGTCTTCATCATAGCCTTAATTTAAACACAATTTCCCTTTTCTGCTTTCAATTTCCCTTTCTCCTCTCTTTCTTTGCCTTCTCCTTTTATACCCATTTTTCAGGATTGTTCTTCAAAGTAACAGTTCTGAACATTTAACTCTCCATCCAGTAAGAAACTATTGGAGTCACTATCCAAAATAACAGTTGCCCGAGTTTGTCTATTTGTTCCAAGTCCAATATATTCATTGTGCTAGCCAAAATCCATGATAAGGAGCTTTAAAAATGCAGAACATCCAAGATAAAAAGTACAAAAAGACAATACATGTTTCTAGATAAGTGTTTCTCAACCTGGGGGTTGGAACCCCTGGAGGGGGGGTTGCGAGGGGGTGTCAGAGGAGTCGCCAAAGACCATCAGAAAGCAAAGTATTTTCTTTTGGTTATGAGGGTTCTGTGTGAGAAGTTTGGCCCAATTCTATTGTTGGTGGGGTTCAGAATGCTCTTTGCTTGTAGGTGAACTATAAATCCCAGCAACTACAACTCCAAAATGTCAAGGTCTATTTTCACCAAACTCCACCAGTGTTCACATTTTGGCATATTGAGTATTCGTGTCAAGTTTGGTCCAGATCCATCATTGTTAGAGTCCACAATGCTCTCTGGATGTAGGTGAACTACAACTCCAAAACTCAAGATGAATGCCCACCAAACCCTTAGGAAGGTTGAGAACCACTGTTCTAGATCCTTTTGCCTGACCATGTTATCCCTTTTTGATCATTCTGTCTCCCTCATCTCAACCAGTGGGCAGTTAAAGATCCTCTGCTTGTCTCAGTCCTCTGTAAGAGCTAAGCCAATCTTTGCTTTGTTGTAATACAAACAGGTCAGATAGGCAAAGAAGGTACCATTTTTCCTCCAAGCAAACTGTGATAAACAGGGTATATATTAGAATACATTACCTGGCAAGCTGGTCTTCATGACATCAATGCCAACTTGACAGTCAGGTTCAGCTGCAAGAACGGCATAATCCCCTTGGTGAGAAACATTGAAGCTGAAATTGGACTCAGCGCTGCCTACGTCATTGGCGAGGACAGGTTTGCCTTTTGAAGTCCTTTGCAATTGTATTTTGTTCCATGGAACATTCAATTTCTCTGCGATTAACTTCCTTATCAGTAGACGGCCAGCCTATGAAGCAAAATGACCAAATGCTACATAAATCACAACAATCCTGTGTTTGAAAAAGCTATATATTAAAAAAAACAGCATGTCTTTCAAAAGATATTTGACATCTCATTATGGACCAAAGCTGAACTTCTGTTATCTTTTTAAAAAGAGAATGCAAACACAACATGGACACAATTTTCAATAGAGTACCTGTTCTTCCTCAGAGCTGTTCAGGAAGGTATATTTTCTGTCCTCAGCACAAACATGTGGGGTAATTTGAGTGCATCTACACTGTACAATTAACAGTTTGGCACCACTTTTAACTGCCTATGGAATCACAGGAGTTGTAGTTTGCTGAATCATCAAGACTCTTTGGCAGAGAAGCCTAAAGGCCTTGTAAAACTAAAGCCGCCATTATTCCCTGATGCTTGAGGCCCCTTCCAACTCTCCTATCTTCTGTTTTCATGACAGATCTTATTGTATACAATAACAAAACAAGTAAAGATGTAATGCTCAATTTGTCTGGAAGTAAATTATTTCTTACATTTCAGAACAAATATGTCCATAGGCAAAATTCTCAACAGTTTAATAGTACAGGTTGAGCATCCTTTCACTGCAGTTCTAAAATATCTTTAGGATTTATTTATACTCATCACTCACATCCACCACAGCAACTTCACTTCAGGATGTCTAAAGCAAAGAACACACATCTGAAAAGGTGGAAAATGGCCATTGACTATCCGGCATAGCAATTTGGATTAGGAGCTATCAATATGAGAAAGATGGTATTTTAAACTGGATTGTGGATGTTCTGGTTCAGTTCATGGAATGCCAGCAAAGAAAAATATAATTGAAGCAGGGTTTTGAAGTAATTTCACTGCATACATTAATTATCTGTAACACGATCCTTTTGGGGATAAAGGCATAACATAGTTTTTGCTGTTACCTATAACTCTTCAATGTAAATAATAATAATAATAAGGCAACAATAAACATATCTGTATTTAATAATAACTTTATTTTAATACCCCACCTCCATCTCCCTGAAGGGAAGCTTATACATGAATCAAAATGTCCACAGAACATCAAAACAAAACAATTAATTAAAAACAAAAAAACACAATTAAAATAATGTACAACAAAGCATACCAATAAAATAAAACACATTTAAATAAAACATAAGGGTATATAACACCAGCATTAAAAACCCACTCAAAAATGCACAACAAAAACCAATAACCAGAATACTAAGATGGGCATGATCAGGGTATAAAGAGGACTGGGCCTGAGATAGTGCGAAACAGTGTAATCTAGGATCAGCGGATTGGAAGGAGTACAGAGAACAGAGTACTATCTGGCAAACTAGGGACTCGGCATTTATAAGTAGGGATTAGTCATTCTCAAATGCTTGTTGGAACATCCAGGTTTTCAGATCTCTATGGAAGGAGGACAGTAAAGGGGCTTGCCTACTCTCCCTGGGGAGGGTGTTCCAAAATCGGAGGGCCCCGAAAACGCCCTCTCCCTCGTCCCCACCAGTCATGCTTGTGACAATGGTGGGAGCAAGAGGAGGGCCTCCCCGATGGATCTTAGAGCCGGTGGAGATAGGTGAGGCCCAAACCCTTTAGGACTTTGTAGGTCATAACCTGCACCTTGAATTGGGACCGGAAACTTATCAGCAGCCAGTGGAGCTGCTTTAATAGGGGCGTTGTGCGCTCCCTATAATTAGGTCGTTAGAAGTTTTTGTACATTTACAATAACAAGTATAAATTCACTTTTTAAAGCAATGCCTGGTACAAAAACATTAATTTATTTTTAGACTCCGTGCCATTTTCTGGAAGCATCTTAATGTTCAAAGAATGGGAAATATATATGTCTCAACAAAATACATCAATAAACAAATCTAAAAATATATACCGTAGCAGCCTTGGCATCACGGCCGAAAACAAACTGTGCAATGCGCTCCTTCTCTTCTGGCTGGATGAGGCGCATAGCCAGCAGCCAATCCTCACGGCAAGGGACCCAGGCAGTATAAGCAAAGGCCCAACGGATGCTCTCCATAGCAGGTTGCAACAAGGAAATCACAGGGCGCCAAAACATCTACCTGGTAATCTCAAGTAAACATTCACACACGGGGAGCAAAGCAAACGTCTTGGACTGGTGCGTTTTGCATTCAAACAAGATGAGTCTGAATCATAGAGTCTGAAACCTTGCAGTCTTGTTCCTTCACAACATTGTTAGAAGTCTGAACTGGGTTTAACTCAAAATGGCTTAAATATGAAGGATAGGAAAGTCTACAAATGAAGTGCACTGTTTTTATGCCTGATGAATGTACACTTCATCAGACCCTCTTTTAGGAATTGCGAAGAAAACTGAAAAGTTTTTAGTTGAAAGCCGATTCCAAGCCTTTGAATACTACATCGGATGGTCATTTGTCAGGGATGCTTTGAATGCGATTTTTTCTGCTTCTTGACAGGGGGTTGGACTGGATGGCCCACGAGGTCTCCTCCAACGCTATGATTCTATGAAAGGCCGTTCCAGGTTTTCTATTAAACCTAGTTTGTCACCTTAAGAAAAAGAGCCTGTAATGAGACATCTACATTGCATATTTGTATACAAATGAATGGAAATACATTTTCTATATAGAGCGGTTTCATTTAAAGCATTTAAGGCAAGTTACTATTCCTGTCCATTCTTTCCCTGATGCAATGATTTAAATCTTTAAAATCTGAGTCTTGATCTATTAATATAAGGACTTAATCTAAAAATGTAAGATTTAATATAAGGAATGAAGCTAAAATAAAATCTAGTATTATATAGTCTTCATCTAAAAACTATGATTTAATATTTTTACATAAAGACTTTACCTAAGAATCTGGGATTTAATATTTATTACAAGGACCCAGTTTAAAAATCTGAGACTTAATATGTTGATAAAATGACTTTATCTGAGAAACTAATACTTAACATATTGATATAAGGACTTAATCAAAGAATCTGAGACTGAACTTATTGATTGGAGGACTTTATCCTCCAATCAATCAAGGTTTTACATATTGATATATGGACTAAGAATCTAACATTTAATATGTCAACATGAGGACTTAATCCAAGAATAAGAGACTGAATGTATTGATAGAAGGATTTAATGTAAACATTGAGGACTTAACATATTAATACAAGGAATTTATCTAAAATTGGTGACTGAATATTGATATAAGGAATGTATCTAAAATCGGTGACAATATGATATGAGTTTATCTGAAATCTGAGGCTTTATATATTCATATAAATATGTAATTTAAAAACCTAAAATTTAATATATTAATGTAAGGATTTAACCTAAGAATCTGAGACTAAAAGTAATATATTAATATAAAGACTTCATATAACAATTTGAGATTGAATACATTAATATAAGCACTTGATCTAAGGCTGTAAGAGTTCAAACATTAGCATAAGGATTTAACCTAAAAATCTGAGACTAAAGGTAATACATTAATATAAGGACTTAATATAACAATTTGAGATTGAATACATTAATATAAAGACTTGGTTTAAGGATTTAAGATTTCAAATATTAACATAAAGATTTAACCTAAAAATCTGTGACTTACGGTAATATATTAATATAAGGACTTCATATAACAATTTAATTGTCTAAATATCTAAATATCTCGGTGTCACCTTAGATCGAACACTAGCATATAGGAAACACTGCTTGAACACCAAGCACAAAGTAGCTGCATGCAATAACATCCTGCAAAAACTTACTGGCAGCACATGGGGTGCAGAGCCAAAATTAATAAGAACATCAGCCCTAGCCTTGTCTTACCCAACTGCTGAGTATGCCTGCCCTGTTTGGCATAGGTCTGCCCATGCAAAGCAGGTGAACATAGCATTGAATGAAATATGCAGAATAATCACAGGATGCTTTAAACCTACACCTGTTAATAAGCTCTACAAGCTAGCTGGCCTTGCCCCCCCCCCCCATGTGTAACGGGAAATTGCTGCTAAATGTGAGAGAAATAAGGTTGAACACTGTGAAAGCCATTCACTACATGGCCACCAGCCTCCTCCCAGCAGACTCACACCAAGGAAAAGCTTTATGAGAACTACCAATCCTCTTGGCGTCCCCGCAGCAACAGCAAGGGTATCCCTCTGGGCAGCTAGACCAGGAAATCTCAACTGGATGGCCCCCCACGAGGGTCTTCCTCCAGGGGCAAAACCAAGAATGGGCAACTTGGAAGTCCCTGAACAGTCAGAAGTGGACTGGAAGCCTTCCAATACCCCTTTCCTAGTCTACCTCCCCCCCCCCAATCCTAACCCCAATCATTCCCCTAATCCCTACCTTAACACTACTCGCCCCAATACCTGCCTCACTTACTATCTATAAATTTTCCTACTTTTCTCCACATCCTTTGTTCCCCCTCTTTTATTGTATTTGGGAAAAGAAGTGAATAAAAAATATGAGTTAAAAAAAAGAGAAGTGGAGTGGGCCGATCAAAAGACAGCCTGGCAAAATGGCACTACCTAAAAGAATCCCATACCTTGTGTGACTGTGAAGCAGAACAGACAACTCTGCATCTGTATGCTTGTCCACTGTGCCCTGCCTCATGTACTGAGGAGGAATTGTTGGAGGCTACAGACAATGCCGTTGCTGTTGCCCGTTTTTGGTCAAAATATATTTAGCCTCCTGTGCTTCTTCTATTTTTTATCAGTTTTATACTAATTTATACAATGCTTTTGATACAAAATAAATATATAACAATTTGAGACTGAATACATTGATATAAGGACTTGATCTATGAATTTAAGATTTCAAACATTAACATAAGGGATTTATCCTAAGAATCTGAGAACTTAATATATTAATATGAGGACTTCACATAGCATTGAGACTTAATACATTAATATAAGGATGCCTGTATGCCTATCCACTGTGCCCTGCCTCATGTACTGAGGAGGAATTGTTGGAGGCTACAGACAATGCCATTGCTGTTGCCTGTTTTTGGTCAAAAGATATTTAACCTCCTGTGTTTCTTCTATTTTTTATCAGTTTTATACAAATTTATACAATGCTTTTGATACAAAATAAACATATAACAATTTGAGACTGAATACATTAATATAAGGCCTTGATCTATGGATTTAAGATTTCAAACATTAATAGAAGGATTTATCCTAAGAATCTGAGAACTTAACATATTAATATGAGGACTTCACATAACATTGAGACTGAATATAATAATATAAGGACTTGGTCTAAAGATTTAAGATTTCAAACATTAACATAAGGGATTTAACCTAAGAATCTGAGAACTTAACCTATTAAAAAAAGGCAAAGTGAAAACTGAGCTGATGCCAGACTTGCAGTTCAGAGAAGACTGAAGGCATAATTAGGTATGGAGGCTCCAAAATACACCAGCCAATTGCAAGCCCTCTTCCGCCCGCGTGGTCTGGAAAGACGGACCAATCGGAATTGCGAACCGGCCTCCGCGGACCACATAGAGATAGAAATAGAGAGAACCCTCATCCACCATTCGCTTGAGAATCATCTTTTCCTACAGCCATATGACATTCATTCAACCGATAGCCTGTCGTGACGTCACGGTTTACATGACTCTTGCAGTGGGTGGGATGGTCCTTCTGTTCGGAGGCGGGTTCAATTCGTGATTGACACAAATCTCCACCAGTCACAGTTCACTTTCCATTTGATGGACAGAAGGGAAAGCCAATCGGGAAAAAAGACGCCGGATTTGGGTAATGGATGCATCTCGGGGCCGTCTCTCAGCTCCTGTAGTGGATGCAGGTGAGTTGGCGACGCCGGACAAAAAGCAGAGGCCAACCTTCCTCGGTTTGCAGGGCGAGTCCCTACCCGGAAAGGTGTGTATAAGGCCTTAACGATAAGGTCACCGCGATCTACCTTTGGGAGCGAGTTTTGGCTGAGGGAAATAACGGCCCATTTTGGGCGAGCATCCTCGGCCGTTCTGAGCATGCGCAGATGGTGTGCACATGCGCATTACGGTCAGTGAAGCCGCAGTGTCACGTGTTCTCTTCCTAGACTTCAGAGTTTGCCAGAACTGGCATGGGCCAACTTGGGCCCTCCAGGTGTTTTGGACTTCAGGGCCCACAATTCCTAACCGCACTCGCAAAGATTATTTATTTATTTGTTTGTTTCCATCCTGCTTTTCTCATTACATACCATAAAAATAAACATAATCATCAAAACACAATAAATCTAGTGAAAATTATAAAATCTACAATACACATAATAAATAATCAAGACACATTTAATAGATCAAATCCCTATCTCATATCTATTTATCTTGGTCATAGTCAAGTCCAATTTCCAGAGGTCAACTAACTAGAACACTGCACACATAAAAATGGGGTTTACAATACTACTCTTCTCCTTTAGGGAAGGCTTACTTCCATAGGAAGGTTTTAACTTGGTTCCTAAATGAAAGCAAGGAGGGAGCTGTTCTAACCTTCTTAAGAAGAGAGTTCCAGAGCTGTGGGGCCACCACTGAAAAGGCCCTATCTCTCATTCCCACCAATAGCACTTGGGACAGTTGCAGGACCAAGAGAAGGGCCCCTCCTGAAGACCTCAGGGCACATGTGGGTTCATAGAAGATGTGGTCCACTAAGTAGGCCGGGCTCAAACCATTTCCGCATAGTCAAAACCATGGTATTCCCTGTAGTAACCTACGGATGTGAGAGCTGGACCTTAGGGAAGGCTGAGCGAAGGAAGATCGATGCTTTTGAGCTGTGGTGTTGGAGGAAAGTTCTGAGAGTGCCTTGGACTGCGAGAAGATCCAACCAGTCCATCCTCCAGGAAATAAAGCCCGACTGCTCATTGGAGGGAAGGATACGAGAGACAAAGTTGAAGTACTTTGGCCACATCATGAGGAGACAGCAAAGCCTAGAGAAGACAATTATGCTGGGGAAAGTGGAAGGCAAAAGGAAGAGGGGCCGACCAAGGGCAAGATGGATGGATGGCATCCTTGAAGTGACTGGACCGACCTTGAAGGAGCTGGGGGTGGTGACGGCCGACAGGGAGCTCTGGCGTGGGCTGGTCCATGAGGTCACGAAGAGTCGGAGACGACTGAACGAATGAACAACTACAGACTAAAGCCAGCACCTTGAATTGCACCTGGAAACAGACTGGTAGCCTGAGCAGTTCTTTTAACAGGGGAGGAGGTCGTTCCCTACACGTTTCATAATATATATTTCATAAAAACCAAAATAATTTTATTTTAAATCATTTTGTGCATGAAACCAAGTTTATGTATATGAAACTATTAGAAATCAATGACAGTGTTATCTCAGCCACCCCTGTGCACAGTTTTGGATTTGGAAGCATTTCGAATTTCGGATAATCAACCTGGATAAAGTTCTTTTTTGGTACAACATACTGGAGATTTAGAGAAACTGCAATTAAACTATATATTAATAGCAAGGTTTTAGTCCCAGTCTCCACCAGTAGTTGTGGAGATCTTACAGTGTTATATTCGGTAGTATGGTTTCTAAATGGGTTTCAGTGACTAAACAAAAAACAAATGATCCCATTTTTCTTATTTCTTAACATCCTGATCCTTTGCAGATTTTCTTAGAAATTAGTTGTACGGGCAGCAGAATTCTATGCATTTCTATAAAGAAGTGAACATCACTCAGTTCAAGTGGATTTATTTCAGGTAAGTGAATAGCTTTCCAAAACAGTTGCACAAAAGCAGTACTAACTGAGGCTCCATTTCCACTGTCATATAATGCAGCTTGAAACTGCATTATATGGTCAGTGTAAACTCATATAATGCAGTTTAGTTTAACTGCATTAAACTGCATTATCTGATTCTATACTGACAATATAATGTAGTTTCAAACTATATTATATGGCAGTAGAGATCGGCCTTCTGAGGCTTTCTCACCATATACAGAACTGTTTTCATTCTCTCTAGAAAACATTTTCCAAATAAACTCAAAGCTCTTATTTTTGTAAGAAACATTTCTCTACTGTAGAATAATCAGCTCCTTCTCAAAAGGCTATTTAACCATAATTGCCAGAGCTGCCAATTATTTTATTTTAGTTTTGGTCTTTTTTGAAGTTTTGTTCTTGGCTGTTCCAATGAGTGAGGTGTTGTATTTAAGTAGCAACTCTTGCACAGAGGAAGCTCTCATTCTCTGGAATGCCTCTAAGACTCAGCTTMATTTCACACCATTTCATGCTGGCACCACATTTTTAAAAAATTAAATAACATAAAAATCTCTCAAACCTGCACCCCCCCCCCCCCGCTAATAAAGGAATCCTAACATGTATTATTAATAAATGTTATACTCTGTGAATTCATATCTCAGACTTCCAACAGTTATTTGAGGACTGTGGAAAGCAGTTACTGAATATTTATTATTTTTGTCGTTCTGTCATTTGTGGGGGAAGGTTGCAGTATTTTGTCTTGCTTTTAGTGGAGTTATTTTTTTAGTAAACAGAGTGGAGTCTATTTCAAGATAGAAGGTCTATATTTGCCTGGCCTAGGATGCTACTTGTCCCAATGGGAAATACGGAGGGGACAACTTGCCCTGTTGAGGTCTTGCACATTGCTGGGTGTCTCAGATGAGAACAATAATCTTTAAAGCTTGTCTTCTAGAAAATGAGAGTGAACGTGGTTAGTATTTTCTTTACAACCCAGATAACTCTTTTGTCTCCCTTTCCCTGAAAGTGGCCATAGCGTACCCACATGTCTTTGGCACGTCCATTTCTCAATGTCACTCTTGGTCTTCATTCAATCTGACACTACTGATGCCTTTTCTACCCAGTTGCATTACTTTAAATCCTGCAATACATCAAATAGTTTCACAGAAATTCAGTGTGTCCCTCTGAATCCAAACAGAAGAGAAGTGGTAAAAATATAGTAGCATATGCATTCCAAACTTTGGTGAATTATTATAAGCCTTGTAATGAGTATTTAGAATTATTTTAGGTTAAGTGATTCCCAAACTTTTGCCTGTCATGGATTTTGGATTTTAGATCCCAGAATCCCTTGCTATTGGCCATGTTTATTAGAGCCAATAATTATTTATTATTGACAGTGGAAGTCTGAAACATCTGGGACCTCAAAGGTTGAGAACCACTGCTTTTAGCAGTGCTGAAAATAGATGGTACGGAAATTGAAAGGCCATATACCATATGTTGTGCAGGTAACTTTCTTAAAATACTAAGATAAAAATCTTAGATATGATCATTTTATGCAGGTGGTCTTTGAGATCTGAAAATTATTTCAAGGATAAAAAAGTTGAAAAGGGCTAATAATTATTTTCCCCATCTAGTCTAGACACAATAAATCAACAAAATTTACATAAATGTTCAATTACTAAGTTACTGTTGAATCAGTGAGTCTGAATTAGATGGCACTAACAGTAAGATTTAGGCTAATGTATTTATGCTTTAGCTGAAATCACACAAGAAAACAAATGAAGTAATGTAATTCATACTAGGATGATGAGATTTAATGCAGCAGAAATGATACCCGAAAGCTTTCAAGTTGTTCAAAATCCAAGATATTTTGCAGCAGTATGTATGTCTCAAACAAACATAAATTTCAGTTCAAAATATTTTTAGTGGTTGTTTAACTGTGCTCATATAAATGTATACTAATTTCACTATATATAATATATGTTCTCCACAACCACAATCTATTCTTTCATTTCTTTAAAAGATGTTTACCTTCCTTTTATCCACATTTTCCAGGTGCTTGGGCCGCACTATCTTTACAACAAAATCATGTTATGGAGTCTTTTCATTTTCAAGCATGCGTTTTAAAATTGCATTATAGTTTTAGTACCTACAGTAGAGTCTCACTTATCCAACCTTTGTTCATCCAACGTTCTGTATTATCCAATGCAGTCTGCCTCCCGCCCGGATCCACAACTGTTTCAATACATTGAGATGTTTTCGTGCTGAATTCATAAATACAGTAATTACTACATAATGTTACCGTGTATTGAACTGCTTTTTCTGTCAATTTGTTGTTAAACATGATGTTTGGGGCTTAATTTGAAAAATCACAATGTAATTTGATTTTTAATAGGCTTTTCCTTAATCCCTCTTTATTATCCAACATTATCCAACATTTTCGCTTATCCAGCGTTCTGCCGGCAACACTCTACTGTATTAGACACTCTACTGTATTAAATTTTCTCTCAAAGCTGTAAGAATAAGTTGAAGAAGACATGGACAACCGACATGACCCCATGAATATCCCAACTTGCAATGGGATTTCAAGTGAGAAGAAAACCAGCTTCTTAGTAGACGAAGGCCATGGCCAGCAAATCTTAAGTGTGCTGCAGAGCTTCAGAGAGCAAAACATCTTTTATGACTTCAAAATACTTGTGAAAGATGAAGTGATCCCATGTCATCGCTGTGTACTAGCAGCATGCAGTGATTTTTTCAGGTAAACTTATTTATAGTGTGGATCTTGTGCATGTAGATATTTTAGTACTGAATTTGTGATTTGACATACAGAAGTCTTGATTTGTATTGACCCATAAAAGTAGGACAAGGACTGTAGTTTATGCAGAAATTAAGTATAGTCAGTAACATTAAACACCATGACCTTGAAACAGGTCATGGTGCATATTGCTTGATATGTAATAACTGGTGATTCCTTAAGGAGAAGTGTTAAAAACCACATGCAACCACATTTTTGGGTTTGGATGAACATTCTCAATTTGCATTGCGTAGAGATCAGGGTGCTTGTGTATCCATGTAATATGTACATGCAGGTAACTTTGAAATGAAAATCTGTTTTGCTGGATTCTGGTATTTAACCTAAGCCCCCCGTCTACACTGATCAGGTAATGCAGCTCGAAGTTAGCTCTGAATTGCAAGGGCTAGACAACAAATGCCCACAAAAGTGTATGAAAGAATGCCCTTTGTGAACATCAGTGCTCTCTGGTTTGTGTAATACGATCTGGGCTTCAAACTGATTCCAGCGAAACCACTTTTTTCAATACCAGTTTGAAACTGACATAACTAGTCAATGAGAATGTGCCCTAAATTCCCTGTCTGTGCCAATTTCCAATGTAAAATGCTCAGTGAACATTTTTATTGTTATATGGACACTTTGTCGTGCAGTTTGTTTAGTATTTCAGATGAAAAACTTTTAACATACCTTGCAACATCTATATGGTTATAGCTAGTAGTGGAGACCCTACAAAGTGTGTATCTGCCATCCCAGTCTAGTATCCTTGGGATGTATAGATTCTCTCTAAACATTGTCAAAACTATGAGTGTACACCATTTGTTTTTATTTTCTGACCTTTGACCTCTTAAGGATTTAAAGGTACTGAATATGGGTGCATGACTAACTTCCTGATTAATAATGAAGGGGAATTTAACTCTTTAAAAATGCTACCACTTTTTGTTTTGTTTTTGTAAGACTTCTAAAAGACTTAAAAGTTGGTTTAATTGCATGTTCAGGATGGAACCTTGGGCTACCAAGCCAGAATCCACCTTAGTTGCGGTTGAATGACAAAATCTGAGCTGAAGGAGTAGTTTTGGAGTTGCTTGGGGTTACATCTAAACAAAATGATCAGGTGGAATTGCCATGAGTGGTCCTGAAGGAATCCTTTGAATACTGCTTTGTGTGTTACTCAGATTTGTTTATGAAG